TAAATACTCAATAAGCCAAACTCAGGGTATAAATAAAACTCATGGTGTAACAAAGGACAGAATTTAGCTGGACATTTTTATATAGAGCAATACAATTATTATTTCCAGTGTAAAAATATACTTCATTTGAATCAGCTGAATTAGAACAAGCAGAGCCTGAAAATATGATAGAATATGCAGTTCACAGTCTAGATAATTACTTGTACTGCACAGTTAAGTCTAATGTTGGAGCAATTTCTAAAAGGGAGGGAAAGGTGCAGTATTTTTCTGCTGAATACCACAGCAGAGATTATCTATAGGTTTGAGAAAAGATTCCTTTGGTTAGCAAATGCTTTCTTATCAACCAAATTATGACCAGTTCTACCTATATTATTCCTTAAAAATAGCAATTACAGATGTATAAATGCTATCAGAATATGTTCATTAGTGTTTAATATGCCAAATCAAAAATAAAATATAGGGTACTAAAGTTAGCTTTAAAATGACAACTATATTTTCCCAATAAAAAAAAAATCATCAGCTCAGTTTCCTGTTCTCTGATATGCTCAGAGTTGAAGTCATGACACCAGTTTTTGCCGTACACGGCACACCTACATAAGATGTTTACTGCACAGTTGACTATTTAGCTGCACAGTAGATGTCTCAGCATCTACATGTATGTTCCTATTAGGCTGGAGTAAATTAATTTAATCCGCAGCAAGATAGTACTTGTAAATACAGCCAGCCAGAGTAAATACAAGTACTATCATGCTGGGGAGTAAAAAAACTCCACAGCAGTGCATGTATAGATGCTGGAGAGGCTGACTGGGGCATGAGGGTGCTTCAGTGCGGTGGGTGCTTGTTGACTAGTCCCACACTGAAGCTCTCTTGTGTCTGAGCCAGCCCCTTTGCAGCACGCTGAGCCAGGGGGAGCAACCCTGGGCTGGCAGATTGGCCCCCAGGGCCCACTGCCAGCTGGGGCTGCTCCAACCTGGCTCCACATGCTGTGCATGAATAATTCCAGAGCTTATTGCTCCAGAGTTCATTGCTCCCAGGCACATGTTCAAATGGCATACCTAGGAGCAATAAACTCTGAAGCAATGAGTTCCAGAGTTTATTTGTGTAGACATGCCCACATTTGCTGATCTTAATATAAGAGCTACTATTCCATACTCCTTTACTGCATGTGACTGCAGCATTAATTATTGTAAAAGAAGGGAACCCAACCTAGGCTTTATCAGATGGGTGGAGGAAGCACAGGGTTTTAGAGATTTTGGTTTCAAATGAAATTTATTTTGGTAGTTATAAGGAAAATAGACACATGGGATGCCTATAAATGCATGTTGAGGCTGCTCTGATGCACTGTAATTACAATGCATTGGAGCAGACTGGATTAATCAAGTCTATCGGACCGTGGTAATTACTGTGCTCCAGCAGCCTCCAGCGTCACGTGTATCAGCCCCCCACACTAAAAAATGGCAACAGGGGTGCTTTAACTAAAGCTCGTTTGTTCAACGAACTTTAGTTAAAGCACCCCTGCTGCCATTTTTCAGTGCCAGGACACTGATACACTTGACACTTTAGACCCCTCCCGCTTCCTGGAGCATGTGTATAAACTTATTACTATCTCAGGTGAATTGGGGACCCGCTTCACATCTGAAGAAAGACAGGTGGAAATAAGGGAAGTTCTAGTGTTGCCAACTATTATGATTTTATCTTGAGTTTTGAGATACTTGGTGGTTTGCTGAAAGGCCTAGTTCTCACAGTCATGTGATTACATGAGGATGACAACTGAACTTATTTGTAAAAAGATTTAGGTTTCTAGAAAAATTTGAACATATGAATAAGTCCCCCAAATGAGAAAGCAAATGTAAAAACCTCAAAACAGTTTTTAATTTTGTTTTGTATTTTAAATTCATTGTTTGTAAGTAAATCTCAAGATTTTGGAGGACCTCCTTCAAGGTCTCTGAATGCTTGTGGACTTTTGGAGGCCTGGACTCCTTGATTGCTAATTGCCTAGTAGTCTTTCCTGTGCCTCCAGCAGGATTTCACCAATAGATTTTCAATCTCAGGAATACACTGTTTGCTGTCCAATCCCCACTCTATTCCAACCTAAGTCAAAAGGTTCTCTCCCCAAACTGTCACACAGGGTCTGTAGAGACCATGTCCATGACTTTCCCACCTCTTCCCTGTCTCTCCCAGCAATCCGTACAGGCCATGGCGCTAGTTGTGCCTAAGCACATACTTAAGCATTGGTTACACTGGGTCTACAGCCTGCCTTCTGCTACTGCAGAAGAACGAGAAGATTTACCCTCATGTACCATGTCCACACATGGAAGGACATGTGGTTTGTGGTGCCACAAACTGCACACCTTACATATTCAATCAGCCGCCACACTACTAATTTGCAGCATGGGATTTCCCCGATACATAAAGTGGGGCAAAGCACATGAAAGAAGTGTTTGCCCAGACAAATGAGGAGATGGGGGAGCAGGTAGCCCAGGGCTTCCTGCACCCCTGTCTCCACACACTGCAGAGTCCCTGCACTGAGGCACACTGCCCCACCCAGCCACTCCACAGTGTGCCTTGAGATGGAGGAGCAGGCAGTTCCTGGGCTGGCTGTTCCTCTGTCTCCACATACCACTCCATGGCTGGCTGGGGTACAGGGTGCCTCAGTGAAGGGATGCCTACTAGCTAGCCCCACATTGAGGCACCCTGTGCCCCAACCAGCCCTCCCCGCAGCACATGGAACCAGACTGGGAGCTGGGAAGAGCTGAGCAGTTTGCCTGAAGCAGGACAAATTCTCTCTCAACAAAGCGCACGTGCAGGGGTGTGCACTGCGGCACACAGTAGAAGCACAAATGCTGCTACTATTTGTACTGCTGAAAGCACATACCCCTGCTCATCTGGATGTGGTCACATGGGTAGAGTTTGATATCCTTAATCACAAAGTTGGACCCCTCGCTCTCCATAGTCCCAGTAAAGTCACATAGAAGACTGGCGGAGTGAGAGGATGGGAACCTGTCCCTCAGTGATTTGGGAGCTTTAATATTTAGTGTCATGTTAAAGGCTAAAAGTGTTTCTGTAGTGTCTAGGTCCTACTGTGACCACTGACCAGAATGAAATTATATCGACCAATTTTACTAAAACAGGGTAAGACAGAGATGAACTCTGGCTTGTTAGCTTAGGATAAACCTCTGTATTATTTAACAAAATGGATGCAGGAGCTGCATTTTGGTTTATTTACAGGAATATTACAGCTTTTTGTTCTTAAACATGTCATTTAATGATATAAGAATGTGCATGTGACTTATTTGAGAAGTCAGGGTCCCTGTGCCAGGCTTAGAATTTATTGTTATTCTACCGGCACAGATGCTGCTGCTTAACACATTGCAGGGGCCATAATCTCACCTCCATTTGGCAGCCTATAAGTGAACAGAACAGACAGAAATTACAGTCAAAAGGTTCTAGAAAGGTCAGGTGAAGGGCAAATGCAGCTTCCTGGCATGTCACTGCACTATGTATCCACCTCTGTTCCTTCTCAGTGTAAGCAATGGGCCGGCTGGGCAGCCAGCTGAATTGGAAGACAGAAATCAGTGGATGCTCTGCCACCTGTCTGCTTCCCATAAAACAAGAGTTTAAACTCTTGCTGATACATGGATATTAGCACCGCTCAGAGAAGTGCTGCCTTTCCTAGAGCACTTTCAAACTTGCACTTACACGGACAGGGTGACACAGCCAATGGCACTAAGGCATATGAATGAAACACCCCAGCAGCATAGATGGGGAAGGCAGGGGCAGGGACAATGTGAGCATATACGCCAGGTTCACGTGGCTTCCTACACCTGATGATCTGTGACCCAGGTGTACACAGCAGGACCTGGGTCAGATTTAGAGGTGATGCATATGAAAGTCTCCCCTGCATTCAGCCTTCTTCAGACCTCCTTAAGGTGCAGACATAATATATTAACTATGAAGTGAATTGGCTTCACTCCATAGTAGACGTATGGAGTAGACACACGATCCACAGTGTTATATCACAGTAGCATAACTGAGGGAGTAACCAGTGCAGCAGCTGCAGGTGTCTCCTTTGCGGTGGGCGGCAGGGTGGGGGCAGGGGAAGAGTACCTGTTGTCCCAGCAGCATGCCACAATTGGCACAACAGGAGCCAGTGCTGCCCTGAGTGCCAAGCTGCACTGTTACACCTTTGTTACATCAAGGAAAGTGAGGATGAAGTTACCCCTCAAGGTAAGGAGAAACTACGTGCAAGGTACATTGGTGTACCAGTCATATGCATCCCACTAGCCAAGTTCAACCCAGTGTAGCCATTTGCTCAAATGAAAATTGGCTGTCCACCACTTAGTGGCCAGGCACTTATATAGCACCTGTATGGGCAGCCAGCTAGGAAGAACTGGTTGTGCCTCCACTTCTTCCTACAGAACAAACAAGCCATGGAGCAGAGTACTGGATGATCACTACAGAGTAATCTGTGCTGTGCTTCTGCAGCCTCACTCTAGTGTCATTTAAGGGAAAGCTAATCTGAAATTACTGGCACCCCAAGGATGGTATAAAAATGAGAGTAGGTTGGTAGCTATACATTTACATCCATGTAATCTAAAAATGGACAGAGTGATCATTCAGAAACTTTCCTGAAGGTGGGTGGAGGAATTGTGCCCTGGCTGACAATCCTGTTTGCCAAGCTTTATCCTACAAATAATTTTTACAGCACAGTTTGAAATCTCCCAAAATGTGGGGTTGCCAGAGAAATCAGGACAGACCCTTACCCACACTTATCACCTACACAATTTATATAAAAAACACAGCAGTCAGAATAGTTGTCACTGGGGAAAGGGCAGTAAACAACAAAATGCTGTGCATAATATGTAATTATGCATAAAACACATCCATTTGTTTTGCTAACGTGTAGGTCACTGTGATAGTACAGATATAATAAATAGCATTATGTATTGGATCTCATCCTGGTCTCAGCTCAGCGTAATGGTTAATTTGTGTGTTTTTACCTGGGCTGGAGCACTGGATGAAAGATGAGTCAAGTCTCCGATTCTGGCAGCAGCGCGAGGATCACTAGAGCTGATCAAGACAGGAGCGCTGATTTCCATGGAGTGCCTGTTATTCAGGGCCTGGGAGGACTTGTGTGTCATGCTGAGAGCTGTGAAAGAGTGGCGCTTCTTGGCATTCTTCTTGCCGTCAATATGCCGCTGGATGGCACTGACTGCTCCGGTATTGTTTAAAGTAGAGCACTGGGTCAAATTTACAGCTGTGCTGGTGTCAGATGGCAAGGGGACATCACAGCCAGATGCTGCAGCTAAGCACGTCTTGTCCATCTCAATAAGCTGCTTAGCCGATTCATTGAGCTAAGTGCAGAAAGGCAGGAAGGGGGAAAAAAAAAGAAGGGAAGAACATTAAAAGCTGTCACATCTTGCCTATGAGTTGGTGAATTCAAATTCTGCACTCATGTGAGAGGCAGTGGGACTTCGTTTACAAAAGCACATACATTGGGCATATGCCTAGTGAAGTCAATGGGGCTGTACTGTGAACTTGAGAAATTTTTCTTTAAGTACTGGCAATTACCAATAACATTTTTTTTTATTGCATTTGCCTGCCAGATAAGTTAGTGCAAGCTGGAAAAGACAGAATGCTTTACTTTTTGAGGCAGCAGCCAGCTTTCAGCTCACCAGGGTTCTACAGCATGAACAGTATAGTATTTGTCTGGTTGAAGGGGAATATCCAAAAATAAAATAAAAATTCAAGAAAGTAACTTATATCCACAGCAGGGAAGAGATGCCACAGGGTAAGAATTCAGATCAGTTGGTCTACAAGCAGACAGTCAAAAAGGGAGCACCCAAAGCTACAGTGCATTTTTCAGGCTGTGACTAAGTAACATGTTCAAGACTTCATAGGGAACCAGTGTCAGAGCCAAGATAAGAACTCTGGAGTTTTCTCATCTCCTAGTTCTAGACACAGTTCAGCATGCTAGATTTCTTTCTACTGGACAATGCCCCTTTCAGCTCAACTTCTAGGGGACTAATGTCTGGCTAAGTTTAACACCACCACTGGTGTTTAATAAATATACTATTTTATTCTAGTGGCAGGGGATGTAGAGGCCCAAGTAAAGGTTGTCAGAATTCATTAGCCACAGTGTGGCTATGGAGAGCATGCTAACATTTCCATTATACTGCCTCACTTTTCCCAGCATCATCATTAATAATATATGTGCCTGAGGTTTGCCAGGTAGAGTCCCAGTCCAGAAGCATTTCTTCCAAAATCTCTCTAATGTTTTTTCTTGCATTTCTAACATAACTAATGTATTTATCTTGATATGAGAATAAAGCAAAGGCTAGGCTATTTTTAAACATTGTCACTTCAACTGAACAGTCACAGGGAGGCATCTTTCTGGCTTGTACAGGAAGGGCTATTTGTTCTCAAAGCTTAAGAAAGCAATAAATAGAAAACATTAAAAATGACTCCAAGGACTCTCTCCAAGTGTTTGAAATTTAGCGTGCAGTTTATGGAGAAAGTAAGATACTGCAAAGTCAATTCTCAACTAACTGCTCGTGATCAATTTAACACCCTGGTCCTAAGAAATGCAGAAAATGTGAAGTGTGGAGCATCCATTGCTCTAAAGTTTCTGATTTCCCAGATATTATAATTTGGGTAAGAAAGAGCTTTTTGTACATATCTGAACAGTCTCTGGACCTAGATAAATGACACTATTCACAGTTCTATGAGGTACATTCTGAATCAATCAGCTTTTTCCTCACAAAACTCACTGACAACAGATTTATTGTTCAAAGTGTACAGAGAGCTGGTGAGAAAGGTGTTGTACAGCCAACCAACCTTTCTATTAAACCAGAATACCATGCAATAAGCTTTCATATTTAATGAACATAAGCAATACAGGAAAATAATACCTAAAGCCAAAGGCTGAGACAAACCAAATACACTAAATATTATATAGGATAAAATGATTATGATGATTATTATATATATTATGGTAGCATCCAAAAGGTCCAGACAAGCATGGGGTCTGCTTGGCTGCATAAACATACTGAAAGACAAAGGTCTGCAGGGCAGGGATTAAGGATTCAATTTAAAAACAAGATGCAACAAGTGAGAGGAACGTACAATGAGGGTAATGGTGATGAGATCATGCTGTTGAACAGCTTGATGGCTCCAAATTGCTGCGACAATGTTTTAAAATATAAATAAGTAAATAAATAAATAATGCCAGCACTTTCCCCACAAGTCCACATAAGTCCTCTGGACTTCCGTCTCCAGTTTACAGAACGTAATTTCTAAATAGGAGGTGATGAATATGCTAGTATCTAGAAAATAAACATCAACATGCTGTAATCCTTCATTCACTGACAGGCTCTACCAGTCAACCAATAACCTCCAATTAGTGATGTTCTGCTACTGACAGTGCCGGGAATAGCTGCTGGGAGTCACTGATACTGTTCAATTAGAAGGCCATTTTCTCAGCTGCACTCTTCAATATGGGACCGTTATGGGAGCCAGCACAGTGTACTGCACCTGCCAATTTTTGCCTATAACAGCTGATCCCATTGCAGATTCTTCAAGAATGTCCATTATTTCCCACTTCATCATGTTCTAAATTGAAACAACCTAATATTTGCCAGCAGGCTCCAAGTTGCAAGGAAACCAGATGGCTCTCCTCCCTTAAGGTGTTCCAGCTCTGCTTACCCAATCAATGAAGATATCCCAAATGAATCATTTGAAAATGTAAAGGAGGACTAGGGAAACTCCACCATAATTTATTATGAGATGCAAAAGTCTCTTTTCTGCAGAAGAACCTGATGAAATAAATTTGCTAGTATCAAACTGGATAAGAATATCTGCAAAGAGCTTCACAAAGCACTGGGACTTCGTGATTTAGCAGCCATGTCCCATGTGGAGAGAAACCCTCCTGCTCTTTAAATCACAACTTGAACTACGATTCCATTTGTAATATCCAGTTTATAAATCCCACTGGTTGTCATCAAATATGACTGTGAAGAAGACCTTTGTCATACAAGAAAACTCGTTTTTTACAAAGCAAAATCACCACAAATATGATGATGAGATTGCTAACATAAAGGGCTATGTAATTTATAACTTCATAGCAGTATAAGTCAAAAAAATCACTCTGTATTTTGTTGCATTGTGTAAGCCAAAAAAGAAAGCAAAAATCCCCCTCAAACCAACCAATAGATCTAGGCAGGTAATAAAGAAATACACTAATAGACTAACACTCAAAGCATTGGGCTTGGCAAGATAAAATTGTTGGAAATATTTTATAAGGCAAAAAAATCAATAGTATTATAGCTGCAACACTTCGTTGCAATGATCAAGCTCAGTAATTCTGGCCATGGGTCCATGCTTCATAAATGCAGTAGGGCCAGACAAAAATGTCTTGCTGCCTAAACAGAAAAAATGAATTTCTCTTTGTGTATGCCTTACACAGCTCTTTTTTAAAAAAAACCATGATTACAACACTGAAAATGTAAATTCATTACCATCTTCTGCTCATCTCTAGAAAAGAAATGTTATTTTGTAGAAGCAATTCTTAATGGAGAGTTCTTTGATATCCAGGAGCTCTGATCCACAGACTCTCCCAGGATTTGAACATTTCTGGGACCTTGTGGATTTTCCACAATTTACTGAACTGTTTATTTCAGGATTTCCACTTTCAAGCACCTTGCTGATGTAAGATAAAGACGACCAAAGCCAAAGCCCTGGCCCTGTTAACTCAGTGGCAAAACAATTATTTTTTTCAGTGGGGTCAGGATTTCCTTCCAAAGGGAAATAATGTATTGAGTAGGGCCATCGTAGGGAACTCAGTATGGACTGAACCCTACAAGCTGCCAAGTAATCTTATGCATTAGGTCAATTAATGATATGCTGAGCTTCAAGCCTGTGAAGAGTCCCACTGTTCAGCGCCAGAGTACTCAGCCCCTTGGAGAGGATTCTGTCAGGGTCGCTGTGAATCATAAAACCACTTTTATGGAGAGACTGATGAGAGTAGATCTATTAGCTGACTTTGGGGTAGTGCATGGCTAAGTTAACTACACACCAACTTAAGCTTGTAAAGCTACCATCTCTCTTCCCCGTGACAGAATTCCCACACTTGCAGAAAATGCACGGGTAACTGGGCATTGCTTTGACTAGCTTCATCTGTGAAGAGAGCATATCCTTAGATTAAGCTAGCTCTCTGCCCTCTTCAGTATCTGCCTCACTTCTGAACACATTTTCCCCTCAAAAGAGACAGTAATCAAGATCCAATTCATTTCAAAAGCTGCTGACCTTGGTCTGAGCCACACTTCTCACCTATCCACCATCCAAACTATCATGCCTTTGGCCCCTGGCCGAAAACAGTCCATAACCAAGCCATATAAAAAGAACCAGATGAGGATTTCCCTCTCCCTCCCCCACTTCTTTCTGGCTTTTAACTATGATTACTTTAGATATTCTACTTGAGCCTTTACCATCTGGACCACAAACGTACATGCATTAAGCTGGATCACTCCGAACTTCTCTGCTGCCAAAATTATTGTTTTATTAGTCTCTGGATAAACTTGACTGTTCTGCAGAATACATTACAATGATTTTCTCTCTTTCTCCCACCTCTTCTTCCACCCCAACACGTTTCACTCTGATATGCATGTGTTAAGAAAGGAATGGACAGAAACAGCATGAGCAGGTTTCTCTATTAAAGATAAAGTGATACAAGACTTTGGGCTGGATTGTGATTTGCAAGAAGTGGAAGTACTTCTGCAGGAAAACAATGTTTCATGCTTACTGTGCATGCCTTCCCTTGTAAGAAAAACCTTACATATAGGACTAAGAACCCCCCATCTCCCTGTCTGAACTAATGGACCTGGGGTCTAGCTATGAAGGATCACACACCCAATTAAATCCTTCACCAAGTAGATGGGAACGAGAATGAGGGAAGAATTACTTCCTTGCCAGACTGCATCATAATTTGCTGTTGGTATAGATCTGTATAAAATTACTATGTCACAGAGAATGGAGGAAATAGAAGCGGCACTGGAATAAAGGACAGGCTTGAACTAGAGACTATTGCAGGCATGGTAATGTCATCTAGGGGTGTAGGTTTTTATGGCATTTCCATACCAGCAAAAGCCACAGCATGGATGCAGTTATGCCACTAAAAAGATGCGTTTGTCAGGACAGCTTCTTTTAGTCAGAGAATCAGAATAAAAACCAGGGTAAATCAAGAAGTGGAAGGAGTTCTGCAGAAAAGCAGTGTTTCGTGCTTTCTACGTGTGTCTCCTGTAAGAAAGAGTTACCAACTGAACACGAGGGATGCTGGTGATCAGATGCAGATATAAAC